TCTCAATCTCTTATTGGAGAGACAAAAAGATTGACCAAAGCAGGAATTGAACTCTAGGGTTTACACAGCTTACAGCAGCTTAGAGCCAGGCATATACCACTAGGCCACTAGGACTTGTTCCCAAACCTCCAAAATAAATCTATATATCCTCATAGTTCTACAACTCTTTGGAAAAAAGATATATGTTATATTTCTAAATTTGTGTCTAGGCTTGTGAATTAATCCCATGTTACATTCTCTTTTGTTTATTTTATTTTATTTTATTTTATTCCTGTTTTCTCTTTTATTTTTTCCTTTTTCTTTCTTTCTTTCATTTTTATGTATTTTTCGCCAGGCCAAAAATTCATTGTTAGCTGCTAGAAATCTTGAACAAAATCAAACAAAAAATCAAGACTAATCTGGAAAAAGATTTATGGCTGGAAAAGTGGAGATTTTATTTAAAAACTTCGCAAATTGAATAAACATATTGGTCACAGACCCTCTCAGATATGATTTTATTTTATTTTAATTTTACAAATAGGAAAATATGTTACTGACTCCACATGAAGAATAGTAAAAACTATCATAACAAATATCGATTTTTATTTATTTTAGAAGTGGAGGTTATATAGCACTAGTTTGAAAATTATGTATCAAGTGTCAGTGGCTTAGTAGCAGGAGGTGTAGAGTCTCATTCTGCCAAGTTGCAGATGTCCTGGGTTCAATTCAGAGCTGGGTGATTCTTTTTTATCTGTTCAATTACCAGTACATGATATATCATGCCTACTGATAAGTGATCAAGTATGATACATCACCCTTGCCTGATAATGACCAGTCTATGATGCATCATATGTACAGGAGTGGCTCCATAAAGGATGTATGGGGTTGTGGAAAGCATCCAAGAAGGGTCTAGGGATGGGAGATGAGCAGAACAGCTATGTTGGTGCTGGCCCTCTGTTAAGCCCTGTGCTTAAGTGTCACAACACGTGACCTCATTTAACCTCTAGGAAGGTTCGGAGAAGGTCACATACCTTCGGAGAGCTTCATTCAACTTCACATCTTACTTCATTCAACCTTCATGTCTCACCTTGTCTTCGTGTTCGCACAACAAACCTTTGACCCACATCCTGACTTCTTTCTTGATCCCAAGGGCAACACCTTTTCCCACCTACTTCGTTCAATCACACTATCTACTCCACAATTCCATAAGTCTATTATTAGTCTCCTCCAGACCTGGCACAATTGGTCCTCGATACTTCTTCTATTCTGACAGATGACACTTCGTCACATTCATTTCCAATTTGTTTGTATTGTTTCCATTCACTTATCTTTTCTTATGGCATATTTCCGTTCACTTATTGTTCTCATGACATATCCTCCATTCACTTATATTCCTTATTGCATATTTGTCCGTCATACCTTTTCGATCATTCACATTATTCGTTTAAAGATTCCCCCGAACCTTCACTATTTGATGATATGCATATACCCATTGTTCTATCACTTTATGTTGTGCTCTGTTCCACATTTGATTTATTGTTTGTAATACTTCCTTCCATTTTCATCCATGAACTTATAGTATATAAGTACATGTATCTTAGCTAGTTTTCTCCAGTTGGAAATTAGACCTAGTGTATATCATTCCTATACTCGAGCCTAGTGCTCATTCTCCTCTATATGCTTCAGACCTCTATTAGCCTTCAAACCGAATACAACCTTCAAGATCATTTCCGAACTTCACCTCGAACCTTTGATCTTACTCTGAAGTCCTACCTTCATTCGGAACTTCGGTATTCGACTCCACTCTTATATTGTTGGTTCTAGTTTGTTCCAAATTAAGGACATGTACATTTTGAGAAGGCGCAACCCACGCTTGTTGAAGCCAAGTCCTTCAGTTCTAACCCTTCATTCTTTAGTGTGACTTCGTTTGTTACTTTGTTCATGCTTCAGAACCCTTTGTTAGGATCAGCCCGTAACACAAGATCAATGTATACTACTGGCCTCGAATTGACAAGTTCCCGCATTGAGGTTACTGGATTCAGACAAAGCTCAGGCAGAACCAGATTCTTGAACAGTGGGAGCTGCATACACCCAGCCAACACAAATATGATGGAACCTTTAATGAATGGGACATTTGTACGGAGTTTGATCCTGATACAAAGCTGGAAGATATGGCTCATGACACAAGTGAGGCTGCCATGCAGTCCACAAACAATGAGGGTGGCTTTTACGATGTTTATGATGATAACAATGGTGGGCTTCATGTGGAGGGGGCAAAGCAAGGTATTTCGATTCAGTCTTGTCATTAGGATGTGGTTAACTTCTTCCCCTTTTAGATGAGCAAGTCTCGCATAATGATAAACCTGCATGTGAAGATGGGGAGATCCCTGATGACAAAGCTCCACAGCTAGGTCAATCACATAAACCTGCTGAGGTGACGTTGGGCTTTTGGAGAGAAGGCCTCTGTGTCTATGAGTTCGATTGGCATGATAACATTCTTGGATGCGTGTCACTAGAGGGCATCCTCTTTCAGTGTTACAGCCTAGACACCCTGCTCTTAGTGGCGATAGCCTGATTCCTTCTGTTTGGGATGTTGTGGTTAAGGAGCTCCTAGAGTTCTCATCCCCACCTGTTCATCCTAACTTATGTCCTTTGGCTGTGGAATTGATGCAGAGCTTCAAGAACCCAAGCATACAATTACCTCTGTCCCTGGCACATGCATGGGATCTTGTATTGGGTTCTCCCACATCTCTTCAAGACCACCTGCCATCCTTGATGTTCATGGTCTGCAAATATGAAGCAGCCCCCAAGGAATACTATTATGAATTGGTGTCTACTGAGATACTGCCCACCTTTGGTGATACATGACTGGTGGTGTTTGATGCAGTGGCTGTTGTTCATTGCCTTTGCATGCATTATGGCCCATCACTGCATGATATTGCTCTTGAACTCTATCGACTAGGGGTTCCATGCTATTGGATGGCAGTTGCTCAATGTACACCCATTTTGATCTTTCAGCATCCTCGTGAATCCATAACCTTTGCCAATGTTGGACTGGGTGTGAGACCTCCAACATATCATCTGGATAAGGCAGACTATGCTAGCTATCTTGCTGCATGTTCAATCCTCATCACTTGTCACAGTCATGCTGCACTAGTAAATGGCAGCATTCTCTGGTGGCTTGCACTGGATGTGTTGAGCATAGAGGCTATCTTAGAGCAGCCTTGTTCTCTGGATTGTGCCCTCAAGCTGCCGGGTTTTCAGAACAAATACTTCTGCGAGGATCTGACAAATGAAGAGATGGACATAATATGTGGTGTATATTATGTCTATACAGGTAAGCTATCAAACTATTTGTATGTTTGGTTTAATACTTATATTGGGTCACAGGCAGTGGGATTCAAGGAGAAAATCAGTCTTGGTGGCCCAAACAAAACATTTGGGAGGGTGGAGGCTTGAACATTGGCTATTGGTCAAATGACTGCGAGTGAAAGGCTGTCGTCATTAAGCCTCACTGAGCAGTCACACAAGTTAACAGGACCACTGTGTATATGTCAAGAACGAGGACAGTCTACATGTGTACGGAGTACGGGTTACAGGTTCAGTGCTTATGTAAGTAGTCCATCTTTAATATAAGGAAAAGGCGGGAACAATATAAGGGTAGCGCGGAAGACTGGTTGACCAGGATTACAGCGAGGTATGGTACCAAAACAGGCCAGTAGATATCAAAGCTGGGAAGGCCAAGTTGAAGACTGCAGCTGAATGGCATACGGCATTAAAGTTCAGAAAGGCGAAAATGTGAGTCATTCGTCAGGGTATTCATGATGCAGCGCAAAAGTTTCTCAATTCAGACAAAAATGTATTTAATAATGTAATAAAGACAGTATAAAGGACCTTTTAGATCTCGTTTGTATGTATTATTGTCTAGTCAGAGTGTGGTGATAGGTTCAAACTCCGCGTCCAATGAACAAGGGCTGCCATTAATAGGATAGTACATGGTCCCACAACATCTCATGCGCTGTAAAAAAAACTCCCACAGGTTGAAGTTGCAACGATTTGCTCCTCCTGCTCCATGTTACACTACCCTTAACCTTTATACAAATATCTCGCTGTCTATTCCTCTTATCCTATTTCATATCTGTGAACTCTGAATTATGGCTCGAAAAGGCCGCATCTCACTGGTAGGTCAATCCTACTACCCAGCGCGGCCTTCAACAATACTAATTTGCCATGGAAACCCGATAACAGACACTGCTCTTTGTAGTGTTCCAGATTAGCTCAAGAGATGGAAATGGTGGAAGTAGAAGTGGTGCGAATAGGGAATGCTATTGAGGATCAGGGAGGTACCTATTGCTCGATGAAAAATAATTAATAAATATACCAGGAGATAGTAGACGTCCCCCAAACATGGAGTTAGTTCCCGGGATGTGGGGTGCTCCGTGCCCCAGGTATACGTCACGCACAGCTTGCAACGGCACAAAGCCACTCAAAGTTTCGTGAATATTCCACACCGATCCTTCCTAATCTACTAAATCTAAACATTCTCATCAGTTCTCTTTATGGCAAAACCTGAACCTCGATTTCGACGGTTAGATGAGAAAGGCAAGTTCAAACACAACAGCCGCTGATCTGCCCTTTATTCGGGCATACCAAGAACTTTGGAATAAAGAAAACCCAGTCGGAGAATCATATTGGAAGAGGATTCGCAAATCAGGTCGCCCACTTTCACGTAGTGTGTCTGAAATAGCTGCTACACGGAAATCCGTCATTTATGAGCTGGAAAAAATGGTGCCTTGGGATGTACTTATATATGTGCCTACTGGAACTTATTAGCCTGTATATACCGGAGTTGATTTTCAACTGAATATCATATCTTAGAGGTACACTTCAGGTTTTTGATTTTCTAAACACGATGGGGATTGATCTATCGATTGCTCGAGGATGGAATAAAATATGCATAAAAATAAAATAACCTTTCCGTCTAACTGCGAATGTAAAGCCTTAAACCAAATAAAAATTAATGCATTAAGCAAGAATTGAACTTGTGGCTGGTCGATGACAACGACCAAGGTTACCACCACTCCATTAATGCCTGAAATGAGAAGCGGGCAAACGGACATCATGCTACCCCGTCTACGCCAACAACTAGCCTGAAGACACTAGAGCTAGAGGGGATCAATATTGTTTCAAGTTGACTAAAGACACGCATTCGTCTTCAGTTTTCAAACAGTGACCGGCTCCCTATGAAGACGTGTTCAAAAGAGTTTCTTGAGGGATGATAATATCCATTGTTTCAAATTCGGGTGTGAAAGATTAGACAGCCAGGTTGTTAAGAATTTCCTGTAGATCTTTTTAGCGGCGCTACCATCTTCTTCATCAAAGTATCCTCCTACATCACGGACATAAAGGTCAAAGTCCCAGACGCGTTCTAATGAATTCCAATAACCAATTGAATGATTTCCAAATTCGATAGCACGCAAAGCTGAAATTCGTGGGCGATTTATAGTATCAAGGTTGGAAGCCTTGGATTTGTCAAGACTTCAACTTGCGGGATATTTGACTGGGCGTTGAGCACATCGTGAATGGTAATCCAGATATGACATCAGTACACTGATTCGTACACACAAAAAACAATGGACGTACACACATTGTCACCGCGCCTAGTAACCGACCACAGACTCCAACACTCGCAGCGAATAGACAGCTTTTTCATGGAAGGTCATATCTCGAGGACCTACCTTATGGCTATGTTCAACTCCATTGATAAACGGCAAATCTACTTAGTAAACTTCCTTCGTGGGGCTGACTTTCAGTGAACGATAAGTGATGCCATCTGCCCATAGGCTGTCAATTATTTTTATAGACTTGATGCTAGCAGCGAGTGGAATAATGTGAGGGAGTATTTTCACCCGACCATCAAACGAGGTTAGATACTCCAGGCTGAGGGGATTAAAGCTGGGCCATTCCGCACAGCAGAGTAAGTCAAAGGACAATTCAAATTTTCCAGAGTGTCCCTTATTCATGTTGGTGATTAAATCTTGCAGATATAAGAACGAGGCTGGGTTGGAGGCATCGCTCTGGGACATAAGAATATGAAGGTTGCTAGCAGCTTAAATCTTCGCAAGTGTAGGCAACGTAAGTCTTCCTAGTATTTCAGCATCTACCGAAATGGAGAGTATTAGAAGATTAATGGCCTCCAAGACAAGATTATGTAAGCACTGCTACCGTTGTGACGCCAATGCCAAACTTTATAAGTCTTCAGTCTATATCCGAGGGTTCAACAATACTTGAGATATGGGCAGAATAGACTGCGCGGTATTTTCAGCTTGATCCAACACATCGAGCTCGATGCGATTGTAGACTGAAAAGTGCCACGTCTCTAAGGGTCATATGGATGCCCACCGTGAGCTTTGGGGTCTACAATGATACTGCGATGTAAACCAGTAGTAAAATTATTATGTGTCGAAGATGATGACATGTTCCAAATTTGGAGCCATACGCCTAAGGTCATTCAAATCCTAACACATGGACGCCAGATGGGTATAAAGGGCCTGATGAAGTGAGCGTGCTAGGACATCATGCTGAGGTGTATCGGAATAGGAAGAGTTTGGATTTGTAGATCATCGACGTTAATTTCCGTCCCTTCACCCTAAGTATCAGCGAAATGGAGCTGGGAAAGCCAAGCCAGCTGAATATCTCCATACGTCGCATGTTCGAGAGTCATCCTGTTTTGCATGCAGAAGGCAATGCGATCTCTCCCTCTTCGTACGGCTTCAAAGGAAACATGAGGATTGGAATTCTTCCCCGGAATCCTGAAAATGACACTGTCCCGAAGATGAGAGGAATCGTCGCTGTCCTGATATGGCGACAGGTTTCCGAAAGGCTGGATATGTCACGACGAATAAATAGCTACCCAGATATGTCAATCCAGGTCTCGAGTGGTAGTTGAGACATGGAGGCGGAGCAAGAAGTACTCAGCCGGAAGCTGTATGTAAGTTCTCAGCAAAGCGATACGCATGAGCTTACTCATCACAAATGACACCACTTTCTCCTCACAACTTCCTAATCCATATCAAGTTTCTTTTCATCAATGACACGTTTCTAACTCAGGGTAAGTCTCAAGATTCCACGGATCGATGATTCCTGAACTAACCTCAGCCGTACACGAGCGAGATTGGAACTGAACCGGTGTAATCGATTACTTAACGTCAAACTAATGAACAGTTCTTTCCTCTTATAATATACATCTGATCTCCGAATTCAGCCCCTTTTCGATTGATATTTTCTGGACGCGGTAACATGCAGAGCTAAACCCAGTTCAAGATGATATATTAAACGGAAATAATATTGATTATAAGAAGAGCAGTGTATAAAGAGAGTCAAGTATACTAAGGATGTATATACCGAATAGTTTACTTTGTAAAGATACGCAAGTGTAATGATACATCCTTAGTATACTTGACTCTCTTTATACACTGCTCTTCTTATAATCAATATTATTTCCGTTTAATATAAGGCGTGAATTATATAGACGCAAGTGTAATGTCCTAATATTAATTAATTACAAGGGAAGTCCTCTGCTTCGCTCCGGATCCCTCACCTTGTCAACTGATTGGATAAGGAGACACTATTATGGAGTATATTTGTAAACAAATTACTGTAATGCATTGTTATTTACTTAAACAAAATACATGAAAGACCGAGACAATGCTCAAAAGCGGTGATGTAAAAAGGAAAAAAGGAGAACTTGTAAGAAGTGTGGGGCCCATAGGTTTTTAGCATCACAGTAAAAGTGAACTGGGATCAAAGGCTTATCTTGCTACTCAATATTTGTTATAGAATTCTCAAGCAGTCTGAGAAGAAGTCTTATAAAGCATATATATCAGATACATATTTGTTTCAAGTCATTGTAATCAAAGGCCTTACCTCAACACTATTATGAATACTCTTCCAAAAGAGTTTCACTGAAGCTGAAGAATCAGCATGAAGATGGACATATTTTTGAAGGCAACTTCGAAATTCCAAAAATGCAGCATAAATGTTGGTGTCCTCCTCGGTTATAGCAGGCTTTGCAGACTGTTCAGAAGATTCGGAGGATTGGCTGCACATAAGCGAATTTTGACTTGGATTAGGATAGCTCATATGAGAAGTCGTAGCACCGGGACCCATGAGAACACCGGTATATGGATTAAGAGACAGCGGCGGTTGAGGGAAGCCATGGGGAAGTGATCCGTTTGGGCCTTCAATAAGACTGTTATTCTCATCAGGATCTCGAGGACCATGAGAATCATAGGGAATATGAATTTGTTGATTCAGGACGGCACAGTTCGGATATCCATAAGGAGTTGGGTTTATTCGAGTCGAGTCGGTTCTGTTAGGGGGCCCGGACATGTATGGAGCCAATACTCCCTCTGTGTGATATAGAAACTGAGGATGCATAGGACCCGGATAGCCTGGAGGATGTTGCGAGCGACCTATAAATCCAAATCAATCAAAAGCAATGATACATACCGAAATGATATAGGAATGTCAACAAATTATAAGGAAGATTGATCAGCACAGTGTGATATAGCGAGAATACGACGCTTACACAATCTTATTGTTGCCCGCCATTAAGGATGTATTGATTGGTATAACTAACTAAAATGTATTATTAGTATCAACGAGTAGTGAGAAATTTGTGGTAGACTAACCAGGGGGAAGAAATATATGAGCTATAGGAATTAAGATAAGTATCAATAATCTAGAATTAATCAACTTGATGTTAACGAGATATTAACATGGTGTCTCACACTGAATTAAAATTCACTCTGTCAACAGGAATTCATGAACCATTGGGATTAGAATTAATAAAATTATGACGATTTTGTATTTGAATGAAAGAATTATACGATATGCAGCAAACTGTTACGAAAAGAGGATTGGGGTGCAAGCGAAAGGAGATGAATAAGTATCAAAGGTAAGAAGCTGATATTGAATCAATTGCTGCAAGAAAAAGGTTATCGTTAGTAGGGTTTTATACTTTCCTATAAACCCTGTAAATTAATATTCTCAAGGGATCTTCCTGCTCATAGCCGCGGAATACATAGGTTAGATGGTACTAAGAAATCAAAGATAATTACCTGCATGCACGAGTAAATGGCAGGAATAGGTACAAAAGCCGGGACTCAGGCTTCAATATGTTATTCTTGAATGCATAGAGAAAAAAACATGTATTAATGGCTCTTCTTAATTACTTACTTATTCAATGTATCTACAGGTAAGGACCGTTTATCTGTATCCGATTTCTTGGAACTTCTTTCGCTTCCTCTCCGTTTCTTTGATGACACTTCTTTAATACTTCGCCAGTAATAAGTATTGTCGGAAGATATATCTATCTGTCCTTCATGAGAGATTGGATGGCCGACAGATTGGGAAAAATGTTCATCCCTCAAATTAGAAGTAATGCTTTCCATTAAGTCATAATTAATTACTATGAGAGAGTGCCCCACAATGACTGAAATTAATTAATTAACTCATTATAGAGTGAACACTATTACAGGAGTACACAGTGTTCATCACAAATTAGAAGTAATGCTTTCCATTAAGTCATAATTAATTACTGTGAGAGAGTGCCCCACAATGACTGAGATTAATTAATTAACTCATTAGAGAGTGAACACTATAAAGGGAGAAATACAGATGAGAAAGCGTGGGATACACGAAAATCCCCCTTAAAGCTTTAGAGTGAGAGTGAACAAACCCAAAAAAGGTGTCTGTAAGATGAATGTAATAATGAATTCATTTTTTTTTTTGAGATTAAGACGGTAAGAACATTATAGGTTGAGGGATGTAAGGCGTGAATTATATAGAAAGCAAATGCCACTGTCCCGTCAAGCGTCCACTGGCTGATTCAATGGCACTATCAGACGTACTGGATATGCTCATTGATCGCTAGGCTTCAAAGAGTTATAAGTCGAGCAAAGTTGACTCCAAGCTGCGTTGGGTTGAACAGATTGACGACCACTCCGAATTCCTGAAAATATTTTTAAGAAAGTTATTAATAATTCACTCGAGATGAAATTCACCATTTGGATCTTCGGCAAAGACAAC